CCGCTCTCTCCGCACATGGTGTCGGCGGGCATCTTGGCGGCGGCCGGGGCTAACCAACGGATGCAGCAGGCCCTGGGGAAGTCAGCGGTCGAGCGAGCCTCTGGACTGCGCAGCATTTCAGCCAACCCTGGCCTCACACCCGAGATGCGTCGTGCAGCTAAGCAGGAACTTCAGTCCGTTGGATTGCGTTCGACGCAGCGTCTCTGATTGCAGCGGTTCGCGGCGGCCGAGACGGCCGAGACGGCCCGCGGTTCGCGGGCCCCCCTGGCGGCGCCTCCAGCGCCGCCCCTGGCGCGCTCCGCGCGCCAGGGAGGGGTGTCCAGCGCGGATCCAAAAAATCCGCGCGGAGCGCCAGAGGGTTATGTTTATGCCGTTCTTTCCTTCTCCTAACTACATGGGCCGCGATTGCTCCACCAGGCCGGGAGAAGCGATCCTTCGATGTTGTCTTGAGTATTGACTGGGTGCGCCCTGCGCTCGCAGTCGCACGCATGGAGCTCCGCGGGGACGCCGCCACCCGCCAAGGGCCTGGCTTCACCCCTCCCATGCTCGGGAAAAGGTGGCGATGCCGGGGTGAAGCGAATGCTGAGCTCCCTCGGTGCATGACGAATGAGGCAACTTCTTCGGAGTCGACGCCGGACTCCTCCCCCTCCCCCTCCTGATCCTCCTCCCCCTCCCACGCCATATGCCCCACCCCCTCCCCCTCCCCCTCCCCCTGATCATCATCATCATCATCATCATCATCATCATCATCATCATCATCATCATCATCATCATCATCATCATCATCATCATCATCATCATCATCATCCACCATCATCATCATCATCATCATCATCAGCAGCAGCAGCATCTGCAGCAGCATCATCATCATCAGCATCATCATCATCATCAGCATCATCAGCATCATCATCATCATCATCATCATCATGTTCATCATCATCATCAGCAGCAGCATCAGAATCACCATCAACATAATCATCCTAATCAGAATAATCAGATTCATCATCATCATCATCAGCAGCATCGTCATCTTCATCATCATCATCATCATCATCACAACCGTCACCACCACCACCATCATCATCATCCTCATCATCCTTATCATCATCGTCATCATCATCATCATCAGCATCATCAGCATCATTACCAGCAGCATCAGCATCATCATGGGCAGCAGAGGCAGCAGCTTCCGCATCCACATCAGCATCAGAACTATTATCATCCTTATACTCATCCTCATCCTCCTCCTCCTCCTCCTCCTCCTCCTCCTCCTCCTTATCATCATCATCATCATCATCAACATCATCATCAGCTTCATCATCCTCATCATCATCATCATCATCACCATCATCATCATTATTATCATGATCATCATCATCATCACGATCTCCGCTCCATCTCTTCCATCTCCTCCATCTCCAACTCCTTCTCTTTCCCATCATCGTCATCACCATCGTTGCAATCATCACGACCATCATCGACACCATCATCATCATTCTCACATTGTCAAAGTCTGAATCGTCGTCGTCATCCTCATCCTCCTCATCATGACGCTCATCATGCGACCAATCCGTATCCTCCTCCTCCTCCTCCTCCTCACCCTCCTCCTCTCCCCTGTGCTCCCCCTCCTCTCCCTCCTCCTCCTCCTCCTCCTGCTCCTCCTCCTACTTCTACTACTACTTCTACTTCTACTACTACTACTGCTACTACTACTACTACTACTACTACTACTACTACTACTACTCCTACTACCACTACTACTACTCCATTACCTCCTCTTCTACCATCTCCTCCTCGTCTTCTTCCTCGTCCTCCTCCTCCTCCTCCTCCTCCTGCTTCTCCTCCTCCTCCTCCTCAGCATCCACCTCATCCTCCTCCTCCTCCTCCTCCTCCGCCTCCTCATCCTCCTCCTCTTCCTCATCCTCTTCTTCAACGCTGTTTTCCCCACAGACCCCGCATCGTCAACATCCGCATCATCCGCATCAGCATCATCACCATCATCATCATCAGCATCATCAGCATCAGCAGCATCATCAGATCACGACCACCATGTTCATCATCATCAGCAGCAGCATCATCATCAGCATCATCAACAGCATCAGCAGCATCAGCATCATCGGCATCCTCATCATCATCATCATCATCATCATCCTCATCATCAGCATCATCGGCATCATCATCATCATCATCATCATCATCATCATCATCATCATCATCATCATCATCACCATCATCATCATTATCCTCATCATCATTATCGGCATCATTACCATTAGCATCATCATAATCATCATCACAAGCATCAGCATCAGCATCATCAACAGCATCATCATTTTCACCCGAATCATCATCAGCATCATCATCAACATCATCCTCATCATCAACAACAGCAGCATCAGCATCAGCGTCCCCATCAGCAGCATCAGAGGCAGCATCATCGTCATCATCATCATCAGCACCATCAGCATCATGACCAACGTCCTCAACAGCATGATCATCGCCACCAGCAGCATCAGCATCATCATCAACAGCATCATAATCATCATCATCATCATCATCATCATCATCATCAACATCATCCTTATCGGTGTCGTCGTCGGCATCGTCATCACCAAGACCATCAGCGTCAGCATCAGCAACAGCATCATCATTATCGTCCACAGCCTCGTTATCATCAACATCACCACCACCATCGTCACCAGTATCATCATCATCGCCATCATCCTCAATCATCAACCGCATCATCATCATCAGCATCAGCATCCTCAACATCACCATCATCTCAATCATGCACAAGTGCCCCTGTCTGTCAGCATCCGAATCATCAGCATTATGATCCGCAGCAGCATCATCAGCATCAGCATCAGCATCATCGCTATCAGCATCATCATCGTCAGTATCATCATCAGGATCAGCATTGTCGCAGTCGTCATCATCATCAACACCATCATCATTGTCGTCGTCGTTGTCATCATCGCCATCGTCAGCATCAGCGTCATCATCATCAGCGTCAAAGGCATCATCCTCATCATCATCAACAACAGCATCATCATCGTCATCGCCGTTGTGGTTGTCATTGTCGTCGGCGGCGGCGTCGTCATCGCCATCGTCGTCGTCACCATTAACATCACCACCATCATCGTCATGATCATCAGCACCACCACCGGCAACATCAGCATCAGCATCATGAGCATCATCATCATCATCCCCCGCATAGTCATCAGCATCAAACTTACCATCGCCATCGCCATCACCCGCATCATCATCATCATCATCATCATCATCATCATCATCATCATCATCATCATCATCAGCATCATCATCACCACTATCATCAGCATCCCCACCACCACCACCACCACCATCATCATCACCATCATCATCATCATCATCATCAGCAGCAGCAGCATCATCAACCTCATCAGCCCTCATACTCATCACTCATTCTCACCACCACGATATGCAACATTATCATCATCCATATCATATTCACCATCAGCATCAGCATCATCATCAGCGCCATCATCATCATCATCATCATCATCATCATCATCATCATCATCATCATCATCATCATCATCATCATTATCACCATCATCGCCATCAACGACAAAATCATCATCATCATCACCACCATCATCATCATCATCATCATCATCATCACCCGTCATCATCATCGTCATCATCATCAGAATTACCATCATCACCATCACGATCACCACTACCATCACCATCACCATCCAGATCCTCATCCTCCTCTTCCTCCGCCTCATCCTCATAGTCATCGTCAGCATCATTATCATCACCGTCATCATCATCAGCATCATCATCGTCACTGTCAGCAAGATCAACATCCTCATCATCATCTCATCATCATCAGCAGCATCAATGCCATCTCATCATCATCATCATAGTCGTCCGCATAGTCATCATCATCAGCATCATCATCGTCATCGTCATCATCATCAGCATCATCATCATCAGATTCATCATCTTCATCAGCATCATCATCATCATCGTCGCCCGCATGATCAGCACCATCATCATCATCATCAGCAGCAGCCTCATAATCAACGTCTGCATGCATCGTCATTCTCATTATCATCAGCATCAGCAGCATCAACATCAGCATCATCATCAGCATCATCACCGTCGCCAGCATCATCATCGTCATCAGCAGCATCAGCATCAGCATCAGCATCAGCATAATCATCATCGTCCCCATCCTCAACCTCAGCGTCATCATCAGCATCGTCGTCATCATCATCACCATCATCATCATCATTAGCAGCAGCAGCAACAGCATCATCATAATCATCGTCATCATCAGCATCGTCATCATCAGCATCAGCAGCATCATCATCATCAACAACATCAGCATCAGCATCATCACTTTGGTCATCATCATAGTCATCATCATCGTCGTCATCATCAGCATCATGATCCTCATCATCAGCAGCATCATCATCATCCTCATCATCATCTTTGTCAGCATCAACGTCTGAATCATCATCATCAGCAGCATCAGCATCAGCATCAGCAGCATCATCATCATCATCGTCGCCATCATCGTCAGCAGCAGCAGCATCAGCATCAGCATCATCATAATCATCCCCATCCTCAACCTCAACGTCATCAACAGAATCATCATCGTCGTCATCAGCATCAGCATCATCATCATCATCATCATCGTCCCCATCATCATCGTCATCATCAGAATCGTCATCATCATCAGTAGCATGATCCTCATCATGATCATCGTCGTCAGCATCATCATCATCATCATCATCATCATCATCATCATCAGCATCATCAGCACCATCATCGTCAGCATCATCATCAGCATCATCATAATCAGCAACATCATCCTCGTCAACCTGTGCCACCCCCTTCCTTTCCTCGCGTCGCCCCTCCCGCCTCCCTCCTCCTCCCCCCCTCTCAGGGCACACGCCTGGCCCCTTCCCAGACCCGCCACGGTGGGCTTGCGGCGGGCCGCTCACCACGATGGGGCCCTTGGTGGTGTCCAGCCGCACGGCCGCGGAGCCTGGGCCGCATTTGCCCCATCCACTGGACCCGCGAGGCAAAGCATCTCAATATAGTACAGGGCAGTTTTTAATATATTGGATTTTGTTTAATTTAGGGTTTTTAATACATGATTAATATATTGATAAATCTATGCGTGAACTCATCGTTGTTTTTCATACTAAATCCCTGCATTTGTTATACGTGATCCGCACGCGGAGCATGTATCAAAAACGGCACTGTAGCGTTTTTACTCGAACTCGCTGAGCAAGCAAGGATACAGCCAAGGTAGCAGAGTCTTGGCCGAGCATAAGATCATCGTCGCCAGAGCGCGTGTGTCGCCCATTCCCTCCCCGAGCAGACGCAGAAGACAAGCGAATCTGTGCCGCAAGCAATCCGGCATTCGTCTCTGACCCCGCGTGGATCGTTCAGCCTTGAGACGTCGCGGCGTTCCGATCGCGCAGGGTCGTTGGCACCAAAACGGCCCAAGAGGCGCCCAAGATGGCCCCACGGGCCCCCAAGACGGCTCCGAGAGGGGGGCCCCGACGGGGGACCTGAATGGACCTTTCGAGCCCTCGGCCCCGGGAGGCCCCCCACGAGGCCCCAAGAGGCCCCCAAGAGGCCGCCAAGAACCCCCAAGAGGCCCTCAAGAAGCCCCCCAGGGGCCCCCAAGAAGCCCCAAAAACTACAAAAGAGGCCCCCGAGAGCGCTCCCAAGAGACCCGAAGAAGAATCGCTGAGGACTACGACCCACAACCCAGGCACGGTGGCGGGATGGGCCGAAGGCCATTCGAGCCGCCGCCCCCTTTTGATTTATCAAAGGGGTGCCCGGCGTGCCAGACTATATGGGTTTTGGTTTTTGTTCTTTTTCCAAAAGAGTTCCCCCTGGGGCTTCGGCCGGTCCCGCCTGGGTCCCGGGAAATTGCCGAAAACCCCATTGAAAAGGTTTTTCTTGCTCCAGACGGCTCCAAGATGGCCTCCAAGACGGCCAAGATGCATCCAAGACGGCCCAGATGGCCTCCAAGACGGCTCAGATGGCTCCAAGATGCCTCCAAGACGGCTCAAGATGTACCCTAGACGGCCTAAGGTAGCCTGAAGATGGCCCAAGACGGCCCAAGAGGCCCCCAAGAGGCCTCCAACACGGCCCAAGAGGCCTCCAAGAGGTCCTCCAGGAAGGCCCGAAGAGGCCAAAACCATTGAGTTCCCTTAGATTTTCGAAAGATTTTGGCATTAGCTTCTTCTCGGCATTCCGACGGCCCCAGACGGCCCAAGAGACCCCCAAGATCGCCCCAAGATCGCCCAAGAGGCCTCCAAGAGGGGCCCAAGAGGCCTCCAAGACGGCCCCAAGAGGGCCCCAAGACGGCCCAAGAGGCCTCCAACACGCCCAAGATGGCCTCCAGGACGGCCAAGATGGCCTCCAAGACGGCCCCGAAGCGCCCCAAGAGGGCCCCAAGTCGGCCCAGAAAGGCCCCCAAGACGGCTTCCGACGGCGTCAGACGTGCCAGGAACCCACCAAGATGGCCGAAGTTGGCTCGAAGCTGGCCCAAGACGGCCCAAGAGGCCCCCAAGAGGGCCCCCAGGAGGGCCAGAAGAGGCCAAAAACATTGATTTCCCTTTGGTGTTTGACGGATTTTGACATTTGCTTCTTTTCGGTCTTCCGACGGCCCGAGACGGCCCAAGAGCCCCCAAAGATCGCCGAAAGATCGCCCAAGATGCCTCCAAGACGGCCCAATATGTACCCTAGACGGCCTAAGATAGCCTGAAGATGGCCCAAGACGGCCCAAGAGGCCCCCAAGAGGCCTCCAAGACGGCCCAAGAGGCCTCCAAGACGGCCCAAGAGCCCTCAAAGATCGCCGAAAGATCGCCCAAGAGGCCTCCAAGATGGCCCCAGAACGGCCCAAGAGGGCCCCAAGACGGCCCCAAGAGGCCCCCAAGACGGCACAGGAGGCCTCCAACACGCCCAAGATGGCCTCCAAAACGGCCCTGGAGCATTCGAAGAGGGCCCCAAGTCGGCCCATAGAGGTCCCCCCAAACGGCTTCCGACGGCGTCAGCCGGACCAGGAGCCCACCAAGACGGCCGAACATGGCCCTAAGATGGCCCAAGACGGCCCAAGAGGCCTCCAAGAGGGCCTCCAGGAAGGCCCGAAAAGGCCAAAATCCTTGATTTCCCATTGGTTTTTGAAGGATTTTGGCATTTGCCGTTTATTCTGCCTTCCGACGGCCCGAGACGGTCCAAATGCCCCCAAAAATCGCCCAAGAGGCCCAAGACACGGCCCCAAGAGGCCCCCCCAAGACGGCCCAAAAAGGTCTCCAAGACGCTCAAGATGGCCTCCAAGACGGCCCAAGAGCCCTCCAAGACGTCCTCCAAGAAGGCCCGAAAGGGTCAAAATGGCCTCCAGACGACCAAGATGACCTTCAAGATGCCCACGCGTTCCCCGAAGGCTTTCCAAATCGATTCGGGGAACACATGGTCCGATGGCTTGGCAGGTCTGGCCTCAACGTTCGGCCACACAGGCGCTTCCAAAAAAAGCAGGGGCGGCGGTGATTCGCCGTAGGCGTCTTCGATCCGCCGCCCCCTGTTGATTTTTCAGAAGGGCGCCTGGCGTGCTAGACGCTATACGGCTTGGTTGTGGTTCTTTTCCAAAGGAACTTCCCCAAGGGCTTCGGCCGATCCCGCCGGCCACCCGGAAGGCTGCCGAAAATGCCTGGGCGGTTGCCCAAATCGCCTCCAAGACGGCCAAGATGGCCCAAAGATGGCCTCCAAGACGGCCAAGATGGTCTCTAAGCTCGCCTAAGATGATCCAAGATGCGTCCAAGTCTGCCCAAGAGGCCTCAAAGACGGCCCAAGGCGGCCCATGAGGCTGGGCCTCCACGACGGCCCAAGAGGCCTCCAAGAGGTCCTCCAGGAGGGCCCGCGGAGGTCAAAATCGCTGATGTTCCTCAGATGTTTGAAGGATGTTGGCATTTGCTTCTTTTCGGCCTTCCGACGGCCCAAGACGGCCCAAGAGGCCCCCAAGACCGTGCCCAGAGCGCTCAAGAGGCATTCAAGATGGCCCCGGGACGGCCCAAGAAGCCCCCAAGACGGCCCAGAGGGGGGCCCAAGAAGGCCCAAGAAGCCTCCATGACGGCCAAGATGGCCTCCAAAACAGCCCTGAAGCACCCCAAGAGGACCCCAAGACGGTCGAGAGAGGCCCCCAAGACGGCTTCCGACGTCGTCACACGGCCCAGGAACGCCCTAAGATGCCCTCAGACGCCAAAGAGGCCCCGAACAAGCCCCCGAAGGCCCCCAAGAGGCCGAAGGAGACCCCCTAGAGGCCTCCAAGAGGCTCCAAGGAAGCTCCCAGGAGACCCCAAGAGTGCTCCAAGAGGCTTCCAAGAGGTCTACTCTTCCTCCTCCTTTTTTTCCTCCTCCTCCTCCTCGTCCTCCTCCTCCTCCTTCTCCTCCTCCTCCTCCTCCTCCTCCTCCTCCTCGTCCTCCTCCTCCCTTTTTCTTCTTCTCCTCATCATCCTCTTCCCCACGTGTTCCCCGAAGGGTTCCAACGACGGCTGGGGGAACACATGGTCCGATAGCTTGGTCGAGCAAAGTTCGGCCACACAGACGCTTCCAAAAAGGCAAACGGGCGGCGGTGATTCCTGTGGTCTTGCCACAGGGGTGCCCAGTGTGCTGAACCCGACGGCTTGGTACTATTGGTTATTTTCCCCAAAAAACAAAAAACAAAAAACAAACAAACAAACAAAAAAAAAAAAAAAAAAAACGTGGGGCTTCGGCCCAGCGCGCCGGCCACCCGTAAGGCGGCGCCGCTGCACAACCAACATCTCTCAAAGACGGCATCGATGGCTTCCACGACGTCGAACGTGGTCTCCAAGCTCGCCCTGGATGATCCAAGATGGCCTCCAAGACGGCCCAAGAGAGTCCAAGATGCCTCCAAGTTCGCCCAAGAAGCCTGCAAGACAGCCCAAGACGGCCCAAGAGGCCCCCAAGAGGCCTCCCAGATGGCCCAAGAGGCCTCCAAGAGGTCCTCAAGGAAGGGCCGCAGAGGCCAATCACTGATTTCCCTTTGATTTTGATTGTGGCATTTGCTTCTTTCGCCAAAGATGGCCTCCAAGACGGCCCTCAAGCGCCCCAAGGGGGCCCCAAGTCAGTTCAGAGAGGCATCCAAGACGGCTTCCGACAGCGTCAGATGGGCCAGGAACACCCGGAGACGGCCAAAGTGGCCCCAAACAAGTCCCCAAAGGCTCCCGAGAGGCCCAAGGAGGCCCCCAAGGGGCCTCCAAGAGGCCCCCAGGAAGCTCCCGAACGTTCTGAGAGGGATCTGGGACGGGCGATTCGCATCCTCAGGCTGCCAGAAGCAAGCACCTCCTCCTCCTCCTCCTCCTCCCTCCTCCTCCTCCTCCTCCTCCTCCTCCTCCTCCTCCTCCTCCTCATTGCTCTCCCTCCCCCCACCTCCCCCTCCCCCCCCTCCTCCTCTCCTCCTCCTCTCCTCTCCTCCTCCTCCTCCTCCTCCTCCTCCTCCTCCATTTTCCGTTTTCTACCCGATGCCCCCCCCGCCCGACACCACGTGCCGTTCACCCCGTGCGCGCCGAATTCCCCTTCCCACACGATCCACCCACCGCAAGCTCTGCGATCCACCCACCCACACAAGTTGAGTGGACAGCCCAACTTGAAGCATGGATCTGGCAGGGCTTCAGCTGCGCTTTCGCCCGCGCAGCGCCTGCCAGATTGCGTTCGTTGCCCGCCCTGTAGGTTGGCAGAGCCGCCACGGACTGGGAGGCGGCATTCGGAGAAAGCATCGCACCTCTCAGAGGCCCTCGTGCATCCGAGAAGCCCCGTCGGAGGCCTGCGTGCAGGGGGCGGTCCCTGAAAGCCCACGCGACGCCTCAGAAGGCGGGGCCCGAGGGGCATACCGGCCGCCCCTGCGAAGTGTGGCACTGGAGGGCCTGAGCTCGGGGGCGTCCAAGAGGGGGGCGCCAAGAGGGGGGGGCGCAAATCATGACCAGCGGTACGTGCGCAGGGACGCACTGAAAGGAGAAGAGGCGCCGTGAAATCTGGGGCGGCATCATGGCCCCCGCCATGACATCCACCCATCCTTACTTCCTATGATTAAACACCCCCACATCCCCACCTAGGCGGCCGAAAGCAACCCGGCCGTCCTAACTGTCAAAAAACAGCACAAACTCAACGATTTTCTCGCCAGCATGTCGTCGAGTTGCGAAAAGTGTAACAAGAACGGGACGGAATGAACATCACTCGGGTAACCTGAAGCGGGTGGTCAAAAGGACGCAGCTCATGTCGCAGGCTGAACGTCTAGCCACCCGCGATATAAGATGAGCGACAGGCGTCGGACGCGACGCACTTGCTTCTTATGTTGTGGGAGGGCGGGTAGGAGTGGACGGAGCCCTCTGGCTCGTTCGAGCTGGCTAACTTGGCCCCCCCCCACCCCCACCCCTAGTCATCACCCCCCACTTGACCGCCCCCGATGAATTCTGGCAGGATGCCCTCCTGCCCCCACGCTGCTGCCTGCTGCACTGCGGATGAAGAGCCGGGCGACGTCACTGGACAGCCCCGCCGGCCCTGGCCGGGCCCAGCAGCTATATACGCAGCACCCCGGAGTTGCGGATCAGAGTCAGGGGGGCGGCGAGAACGTCGGCAGTCCGCGAGGCTCTGAAGAAGCCCGACGCAGGCGCCGACTTCACAAATCATACAACGAGCCCGCCGCAAGCGCCGATGTCATGTTAAAGCGATGTGGGTGGGTCGCGGGTGGGTCGCGGGTGGTAGGGTGGCCACTTGACGTTGCCCGTGTGAAGGGGCTCCAGAGGAAGCACAAAAACAAAACAAACATGAACGTTCCAGGCTCCGAAGGTTTATGTTTATGCCGTTCCTTCTCCATCGAAGGAGTGAGCAAAGGCCACCCACATGGGGTCCGAATAAATGGGGTCCAAGAATCGCGCCGCATCGGCGATGCATCGACGATGCATCGACGGTGCATCGCCGATGCTTTGTCGACGTCGGCGATGCATCGGCCACGTCAAACGTAGAGAAAATCGGGCTTCACCTCGAGCCGCATCGCTGGTGCACCGAGGATGCGGCGCGAGGCTCCGACTCCGCCCTCTTCGTCCCCACGCGGGAGGCCTAGAAACTGCGGGGGCTCACGGCCTTTGCTCGAGCAGGGACCGACCGTCCCGGCATTCCTATAGTCCTACTGCGAAATGCTCTTAGAACCCAAAAATGTTCTAAGAACAGATACAAGGTTCCTGGAACATGAGCCCGATGTGATAAAACAAGACAGACTCCGCCAGACATGTTCGAAACACATTTCGTAGAAACCACAAAAGGTTCTTAGAACATTGTTTGGTATGGCTGTAGGCGAGCCAGGACGCTTCGCCAGTGCTTGATTTGCCCGCCGCCGCATGGAGCCCGGGCCCGAACAGTGCGCCGCCATCTCGGCGGCGGACAGCCACTGGGGCGCGGGCTGGGGCGCGGGCGCGCCCTGCTGCGGCGTCGGGGCGCCCCGCACGGCCTCCGGAGGCAGGGTGCAGAACGGCCAGGGGGGGAAGGGGGAGGAGGAGGAGGAGGAGGAGGAGGAGGAGGAGGAGGAGGAGGAGGAGGAGGAGGAGGAGAGGAGGAGGAGGAGGAGAGGAGGAGGAGGAGGGGGGGGAAGAGGAGGAGGAGGAGGAGGAGGAGGGAGGAGGAGGAGCAGGAGGAGGAGGAGGAGGAGGAGGGGGAGGGGGAGGAGGGGGAGGAGGGAGGGGGGAGGGCGCAGCAGCAACCACGCCAGGAGCAGGATCGTGGGCGCAGAACACGCAGGGGGCCCAGGGGGGCGCAGAGGCATCGACACGAATTCCGGGATGTCCCATACGTGTCCATCTTTCCCGGCTGCCCAGATTCCCCTCCATGGCGGGCGGGCCCGGTAGCCCAGGCTATCGCCGGACCCTGACCAGAGTCTCTCCATGGGAGGCCTGGGATGAGGATGCACCGGGCTCCAGGGCGCCCTGGAACGCTCCGGTCGTTGCCGAGCGCTCGGGCGCGGCCGCGACGCCTGGTAGGGTCCTCCAGATCCGCTGGCCGCGGGCTCTCAGAGACTCTGGATTTCTCTTCATCTGGAACTAGCCTCACGCTGCCTTCGTCGCAGGAGCGGGCGGTGGCGAGGGGATCGGAGAGAGGGGGCGGCGCATCTAGGGCGGCCTCCCCGGGCGCCCGCGCGCGCCAGGAAGTGGGGTGTGGGCCCAGCGCCCTCACAAGAGATCCGCGCGGACCTCCGACAGTTCATGCTCATGCCAGCATCTTGTCTCCCACAGGAGGGGGGGGCGGGACGCGGGATCGACCCGACTCCGCTGGGGCTTCTGCTCCCCAGCCTTCTGAAGGCTCCACTGGCCCGAGCTGCCCTTGCTCATGTAGATCTCGTCGCCGGGCTGGATCTGCGAGCCCTTCAGCGGGATTTTCAGCTGCATCCCGTCTGGAGCTGGCACGCTGAGGGTGGAGTCTACGTCGCAGTCCGGAACAACGAACTTGAAGGCATTCGCCGACATCCTGGTGGGAGGGACGAGGGAGGAGGAAGGGCGGAGAGAGGAGCGAGGAGGGAGCCTCCTCGGACTGCTGGCCTGCTCACTGTGCGTGCGCGGATGCACGCGTGCGCGGACCGCCCCCCCCCACGTCGTTCATCTGCCCGTCTGCGGGACGCGCGGGGCGGACCAGCGATTGGAGAAACTGGTCGCTCAAAAGAAACGCGTATGCGTGAACGCAGGCGAGTGTGAGGCAGGTCGAACTCTCTCTCTCTCTCTCTCACACACACACACGCACGCACGCACGCACACACGCACGCACGCACGCACGCACGCACACGCACACGCACACGCACACGCACACGCACACGCACACGCACACGCACAGCACACATCTGCGAGTGGCTCGTCCTCGGGCGTTCCTGGCCAGCCCAGCGCGGCAAGCCGGGCGGACAGAGCAGCCCGGGCGCCACGAGCGCGCCACGCCGCCAGAAGCCCACGCGCGGCAGGCTTCAAGCTCGAGCCAAGATGGCTGTGGAGACAGAAGCAGAGAGGCAGAGTGCCTGGAGCTGGGGAAACGGCAGGGGCACGGCTGCGACGAGCTCTGCTGCCCCAGAGCGGCGCCCAAGAAGCCTCCTTGTGTTTTAGATTTCATACAAACACACACACACACACACACACACACACACACATACACACTTTTTTAAAACAAAAAACAAAAACAAAAAAAAAAAACTGTTGGAATCAAACAAAAGCGGTTTTTAATTCAGAAAACACGTCTTCGAATTCAAGAATCGGGTTTTGAATCCTAAAAACACCTTTTTTGTGAATTCCAAAACCACTCTTCTGAATTCAAAAACCGCTTTGGGAATGCAAAAACGAGGGCCCTGGTCCACGACACTGGCCCTGTGGCTGGATGGGCCGAGCGCCACTGGACGGCCACGACGAGTGCGCCGCCCCCCTTTCGAGCTTGCAGAGCGGCGCTCGGCGTGCCTAGCCTTCGAGCTCGTGCCGGCCGTTCTCGGCGGGTCCCGCTGGGGATCCGGCCCAGCCAGCCAGCCAGCCGCAGAAGACACCAGGAGGAGGAGGAGGAGGAGGAGGAGGAGGAGGAGGAGGAGGAGGAGGAGGAGGAGGAGGAGCGAGGAGGAGGAGAAGGAGGGAGGAGGAAATGGAGGAGGAGGAGGAAATGGAGGAGGAGGAGGAGGAGGGCAGTTCGCCTCCAGGACGGATAAGATGGCCCAAGATGGCCTTCAAGTCAGCCCTACACAGTCGAGGATGGCCTCCAAGACGGCCCAGGAGGGGCCGAGCGGCCTCCAAGCTCGCCCGAGATGCCTCCAAGGCGGCCCAGGATGGCCTCGAGACGGTCCAAGGCGGCCTTAAGACAGCCGAAGAAACGAGCCAGGAGGGTCCGAAAACAAAAACAAAAAAAAATGATGCCCCGAGGTCTCGCCTTTTCAGGCTGTCGACAGCCGAAGACAGCCTTGGGGGGCTCCGAAATAACCCAAAGACGGCCCAAGAAATCCCAAAGACAGCCCGAAGACGGGCAAAGAAAAAACCCAAGACGGCCCCAAGAAGGCTCCTAGATGACCCCAAAGACCTCCAAGACGGCTCTACAACTCCAGAAGAGGCCCCCAGGCGGCCCAGACAGGCCCCCAAGACGGCTTCCCAAGGCGAAGACGAGCCAAGGGAACCCTATGACAGCCCAAGAGCCCTCAAGGAAGCCCGCAGAAGCCCACAAGAAGCCCATAAGAGGCGGACGTCTAATCCCTCCAGCCCTTGTGGCGAAGGTGGTCTAACGAGCTCTGTTCTCTTTCACAACCCTCTTCCCTTCCTGTTCTATTCCAAAACCCTCTTCCCTTTGGGGAGGGGTAACCCTCCCCCTCCCCTCCCTAAGTTTTTATTAGGGGGTCGCGATCGGTCAGGGCGCCCAAGAAGGCGCAAGATGGCTCCAAGAGGGCCTCCGATGCTCCAAACTAGCCTCCAAGGCGGCTCAAGACAGCCGACGATGGTTCAAGATAGCTTCTGACATACCTCCAAGAGGCCTGGCGAGGGCCACAAGACGATCCCAAGTGCTCTCGGAGCCCCCTCGGGACCCCCACAAGAGGCCAAAACCCTTCAAAAACCTCAGGATGAACAATGGTGTTTGCCTTCTCGCCTCTTCGATTCCGATGCGCTTTCGAGGCCTCAAGATGGCCCCAAGATGGCCCGAGAGAGGCCCAAGAGGCCCCCAAAACGACGCCAAGAGCGCCTCAAGAGCCGATTTTGATGGCCCCAGGGCGGACGCAAACCGAGGACCCCCCCCCTCCTTTGATCGATAGCCTCCAAGCTGGCCCCAAGAGGCCGTCCAGGGCCCCAAAGAGGGACACAAGAGAGCCCCAAGAGGGCCCCACGAGGGCCCAAGACCATTCAAAAGAGCCCCAAGAGGACCCCAAGATCCGCCAAAAGAGTTCCGAGGGGGCTCCAAGAGGCGATCTTGACAGCTCTGCCCTCTTCTTCGTTGTCTTCCTCCTCCTCATACTCTTCCTCCTCCTCGTCCTCGCCCCTGCCCCCTATCGTCTTCCCTTTCTTTTTGCTCCTCTTCCTCGTCGTCGTGGTCGTCATCGTCGTCGTCTTCCTCCTCCTCCTCCTCCTCCTCCTCCTCCTCCTCCTCCTTCCCTCGCCCCCACGCGGGCCCCAGGGATGGCCCGAAGAGGCCCTCCAAGGCCACCCCCTTGCTCCTGGAGATCTGTCTTTTCACCCTGGTTGCCCGGTTTGTGTCACTGTTTGTGCATCTTCGTCATGTTTCCCGTCAGCTCTCGTGGGCAGAGTTTCTGAATGGGCTGGCGGGGATTTTTCGTCGCAGCCGCAGGCGAAGGCGCACAGCGGCGTCACAAGTCAGCTCGGGCTACGAGCAAAACTGGTGAACCTAGCGCGCGCACAGGCGGCTGCAGAACTACCGCCGTGGGACGCTGAGCTGCGCCGAGGGCTGAGGCTGCAGGAGCTGCCGGGAGCTGCCAGATGAGCCAGGCAAGCGTACGGGCATCCCAGAGGCGAGACCACCAGCTGGCGGGGATACGTGAAGCGTGAAGACTTCGTCGCATTATTCAAACTAGGTACGGCGCGGCACAACAAACTTCTTCGCATCCTGAGAACCAGGCACGGCACGGGTACTTGGCCGCTGCCTGCAAACCAGGCACGGCACGGCACAGCATGGCACGGCAACTGTTTCGCTTGCTGGAACCTGGGCACGGCACGGCAACTGCTCCGCTCGCTGGACCATAGGCATGGCTGCACGGCACGGCACGACACGGCAGTGCTTTCGCCTCCAGAAGCCTTGGCACGGTACACGACACGGCACCTCTCCCGCACTCTGGAGGCCAGGCACAGCACACGGCAGGCCAGACCACGCAACCGCTACTTTTCCGCTACGTCTCTGACAACCAGGCACGGCACGGCGCGGCAACTTCTTCTCCTTGTCCTCCTCCTCCTCCGCCTCCTCCTCCTCCGCCCTCTCCTGCTCCACCTCCTCCTCCTCCTCCTCCTCCTCCAGAAGCCAGGTACGGCATGACACAGTCACGGCACCAAAGCAGACCGCCCCGGAAACGAAGCACGGCACGCCGCGCGGCACCGGAAAGCCGCGCTCTCCGAGAGCCCCGCAGCGGCACGGCACGCGGCGCGGCACAGCACAGCGCGCCTTTTTGGAGGCCAGGCACGGCACGCGGCACGGCACGGCCCCACAAATCGCGGGGCGACGGTCTCGGACTCTGGAGAGAGCAGCAAGAAGCAGCAGGAGGAGCAGGAGGAGGAGCAGGACGAGGGGCAAGACGAGGGGCAGGAGAAGGACAGAAAGAGCAGCAGGAGGAGGAGCAGGAGGAGGAGCAGGAGGAGGGGCAAGACGAGGGGCAGGAGAAGGAAAGAAAGAGCAGCAGGAGGAGGAGCAGGAGGAGGAGCAGGAGGAGGAGCAGGAGGAGAAGTACAGTTTCTGAGTTTTCAATCTGACATTCGAGAACTCCTCCCAGAACGGTGCCGTCTCTTGGGTAGACGAGCGCGTTCCACTGCTCGCAGAGTAGCTACTCGCAAATCGCCTGGATCCACCGCGGGGAATCTACGATACATTACATCGAGGCAGACATGTGTGTTTCGGGCGTTTGCGAGTAGGCAGTTTTGCGAGTAGCGGAACGCGCCCAGTGATAGGGGCATGAGACCCATGACGCATCGGCTGTTCGGGGAAGCATCTGAGAGAGCAGCTCTTTCTTGACATACTGTGGGGGGTCATCGCGAGAGAAATCAGGACATGACAAAGAGCGAGAGGAAAGCAGTGTTCAGATTGCGCCGCTGTGGAGGCGTGGAAGAAGAGGAATGGAGGACGAGAAGGAAAGGAAAGGTTAATAGAGGACAAAAAACAATAATAAAAACAACGTTCGAAGCTCCGAGCGGATTTCTTGGATCTGCGCTGGGCCCCTCCTGGCGACACCCGCCCCTGGCACGCTCCGCGAGATAAGGAGAGACGGCAAATAGGATAAGGAGAAGGGGAGCGGGAGCCGCAGGGGAAGCGGATGAGACTTGACGAGGAAGACTGGGAAGGGCAGGTGTACTCGTCCCCTGCAGCTTTACTGACTTGATGGTCGCAACTGGAATGACTAGCTCCGAAACGATTGCCAGACACGGCATGAGAGGGCCAATGTAAGCATCAGGGCCCTGCCAGGAGCAGGAGGAGCGGGGCGAAAAGCGCGTGGTGTTCACGCCGTCACCACCTTTTGATCCATCGCAGCCTGGCTAACGCTGGCGTGGTTGAAGCGGAGCCCTGAGCCAGTGAGACCCCAGACCAGAAACGGTCGAGCGCATGGTCATGCTTCGGGGCACACAATCGGAGGGCTCCTTGACAGAAGCAGAGTCTCGCCTAGGAGTCCTGCGAGGATATCTGGGAATCATGCCTTGATTTGGAATCGTCACCTGCATGCCGCTTAGAGTTCTCTCACTCCCTTTTCCCCTGCCTACGTACCTCCTCGTGCTCCTCCCGGCTCTCTCCATCCTCATCCTCCTCCTCCTCCTGCTCCTCCACGCCGTTCCCCTCCCCCTGCCTACGCCTCATCCCTATCCCCTTTCCTAGAGGAAGAAAAAACGGCATAGGTAAACATAAACTTCTGGCGCTGCGCGCGGATTTCTTGGATCTGCGCTGGACCGCCCCTCCCCCCCGGCGCGCGGAGCGCGCCAAGGAGGACCGCCAGCGCAGACCCAAGAGATCCGCGCGGAGCGCCAGAAGTGTAAGTTTATGGCGCTTTCTCTTCTTCGAGTTCCCCCGCCCCCCCTCCCTCCTCCTTCCTCCTCCTCCTCCTCCTCCTCGTCCTCCTCCTCCTCCTCCTCCTCCTCCTCCTCCTCCTCCCCCTCCTCCTCCTCCTCCTCCTCCTCCTCCTCCTCCCCCTCCTGTCCTCCTCCTCCTCCTCCTCCTCCTCCTCCTCCTCCTCGTCCTCCTCCTCCCCCTCCTCCTCGCATCGCATCGCATCGCAAGCTAGAAGCCGTTGTCTCTGCAGCCCATTCCAGGTGTGAGAAGGGAG